AGCGTTAACTGCTCCTTTCCATAGGCCAGCAGAAATCTACACTACAGTTGTTCAATACATCCTGCTTACATACATAACTATATCTCTTAGGGCTGGGGAGATAGCTTAGTAGAATAAGCACCTGCCTGACAAGTGCAGGGTCCTGAGTTCATTCCCTGGTACTGAAAAAAGAATAAATATATCTCTTTCCCTCAGTATCTCTCCTGTCATCCTCAATTCAGGAATTCCTTCCTTTTGAACAGGTTCATTCCTTTTTCCTAGTATCTGTTGTACCATTTATATTTTATTTTCTCTTTAAGGTTTTCATGCTTAGAAGACAATACAGTGTTTGCATATGCAGGACTGAGTTATTTCACTTAAGAGCATGGGCTCTAGTTGCATCCATTTACCAATAAAAGCCTCAAATTTATCTTGTTTTATAGCTGAATAATACTCCATTGTGTAAAAACACCAAATCTTTATACATTCATCAATTGATAGACATTTGGGTTGTTTCCAAAATTTAGCAGTGACAAATTGTGTTGCTCTAAACATGGGTGCACATATATCACTGTGGTATGAGGTTTTTAGTGATTATGGAAAAATACCCAGTAGGGAAATAGCTAAGTCTAAGGGGACCCCCAATCTGAGATTTTTAAAGTGTCTCCATACTGATTTCCATAGTGGTTGTACCAGTCTGCACTTCCACCAACAGTGGAGAAGGGTTCATTTTTTCTCCACAGCCCCTCCAGCATTTGTTATTGGCTGACTTCTTGATGTTAGCCATACTTTCTGGGGTGAGATGGAAACTCAGTGTTGTTTTAATTTAAATTTCTTCAATGACCGATGATGTTGAACATTTTTTCATATATTTACTTGCCATCTGTATTTCTTCCTCTGAGAAGTGTATATTCATCTCAGATGCCCATTTTTGATTGGGTCTTTGAATTTTGTGGGGGCTGATTTTTTAAAAAATTCTTTCATTTTCTTTATTTTTTTTTATTCATTGTAGCACAGCATGTAAATCAACAGATAACCTACTCTAAGCAAATTTAATACCTTTAGAAGCTTATTACCTTTAGAAAACACAGGAAAGCTGGTAGATACATGATCGATGTTGGAGATTTTTATTTTGATTAAACACAATTAGCACAGTTTGGGGGAATGAATTTACATAGCCTGATTGGGGTTAAATCTTTTTATTAAAAAATCAGGTTGATACAGTACATCTGGATGCAACAAAAGAATCTTTTTTCTGGTATTGTAAAAGACTCCTGTCTATTTTGAATAAAACATTCACTCAAAAACATGAACACAAGACATTTCAAAATATGACAAACATTAGTTCACTTATACCATGAAATGACTTTACATGTAAACTTCAAAAATTGCATGCTGTATATTACATTTTTAGATTAAAAATATCCCTGCTTTCTTAATAATGTATATAGTAAAACTGAGTTAAAGGGATAATTTTAAGAAAATAGCACTTTTAAAACAACGGCCAAACATAAATTTCTTAAAACTCAGATTTGCATTTGATCACAGGAGGATTGAGAGCAGGAGATGTAGCTACCATTGCCCCAAACTATGCATCTTTCAAGGAAGCTTTAGTTTTCAGTGTCGCTAGAATTCCAACACTGCAACATAAGTGTGTAACAGTGAAGAGTCTCTGGGCAAGTAAAGAGAAGCACACAGTTGTTTTGGCATATTTGTAGAAGTAAAAGTGTGGAGTCCTTCAGCATTAGCTTCTTGGAGGAAGAGGGGGTTATCCTGGCACACTGGGAATCCTGTCAATGTGGGGACAAAAGCCCAAACTAGTACACACAGAGATACCACATTCTTCTGTTTAGGGCTGGGGGCTTGTGACAACTACAATGTTTTGTTTTTTCCCCCATGAACTATTTACTTTTTTAAAATCAGATTTTATTAGTAAATTTTATAATTTTTTTATTTATTTGGTACAGGGTCTCACTATGCAGCTTAGACTCATAGTGATCCTCTTGAGATTATAGAGGTGTGCCACCATGCCTGGTTTTGGTGGCCAGCAGAGTGTGCCCAGGGTTCTGGTGCCAGCACTGCATGCGATACTGGGGATCCAACTTGGGTCTTGGCCCTTGCCAGGCAGGTGTTTAGACTGTAGAGCTAATTTCCCCAGCCTGTTACATTTTAAACATATATAGTGAGGTGACAGCTGTTAAGGAGTATCTGCAAGTAGGTGTTATCGTTTGTATCTGGATATACCCCCAAAGCCTCATGTGCTAATAGACAAAGATGTTTGAAGGAAGCTGGATCATGGGTGTGTGATGCTGGATTATGGTGTGTGATAACTAAATTAGTTTAGCATAATTCTGGGTGTGCATAATGGAAACTTCAGTCTGATTGTGGCTGGCACCAATCAGTAGACTTGGAATTTGGATTGAATATAAAGGGACAGAAGGAAGGCAGGCTTACTGCTTGCTGCTGCTTCTGCTGCTTCTGCTGCTGCTTCATGCTGCCCATGCTATGGACTGTTTCTCTCTGTGATGCCCCTCTGCCATGCTACCTTGCCTTCAAGACAGCTGATTATGGACCGAAACCTCTAAACTGTGAGCCAAAATGAATCTTTCTTCCTCTAACCTTGGTTTCCAGGTATTTTGTCTCAGCCGTGAGACAAAACCACACCAGTAGGGTAGAAGTGTAATATTTGCAGGGTTTTTAAAATTATCTTTTAATCATCATTATGACTATTATCATTTTCATTGTCTTCATTATAATTATGAATACTATCACACATCTTTCAACTAAGAGAAAATAAACTGATCCACAGTTTATTGGGTGATGCTGGCAGAGTTGCTTTGACATGTGTTTCCTTCTCTCCCTCCTCAAACCATGTGCCCATTCCATTCATGTAGCCACTCTGGAATCAGCGTTCTTTCTGATTCAGACCGATTGGTTTTAATTAATTAAATAAAAATGTGCATTCAAGCACATGGACATGCATACACACGGGCACATAGTATCAGAATAGCTAGACAAATGCTCGGAAATACCAGGTAGCTCTTAATTAAAGGTAGGAGTCCCCAATCAGTCATCTTGAGCTAAATATGTAATCAAGGTTTACTTCCTGCAAGATGAGCACTTTGTTGAGTTTGTTTTTTTATTTTCCCTACATCTAAGCGTGTCCTTCCCACATTCATGTCTACTCGAGGTCATGCAGGAGGTTGTATGAAGATGTGATCAATAAAGTCCAAAGAGCATTTTAAATACTGTTTTGGGGTCAAGGTGAGATCTCAGCTTCAGCCTCATGTTTAACAGGTTTTGCAACATGGGAAGCTTTCTTCTTTGCATCGTAAAGAATGAAAATGTCAGTAATGGCCACGAAGTACACTTCTTTCTTGGGTGAGTGTCCATGGCATTGAATTCTATGCACATCAATATTTTTATCAAACTTGCCCACAGACAAAGGTAGTGAGCTGTTCAGTATCTTCCTGGGCTGTCTGAAGCCTTGACCTGGTGAGTGCCATGGCTCCTCCCAGTCTCCTCCATATCCTTACACTCCACCTCCTCTTGCCCTGCCCTCCTCGCATTGAGAATTCCAACCAGAAAGCTGTAGTCCACAAGCTTCAACTAGCCAAGAAGCTCAACATCTTTTTTCAGTTTTTGTGGTTGTCAGCAATATACATCTCTGGCCCTTGTTAATGAAATCATTATCCTTTAAAGTTGGCAGTTGTTTGGCCTTTTTTCCCTAACTTCTTTAGCCACCATGGAACACTTTAAGTCATATTTTCTACTTACAAATAAATGACTGTACATATTTCCTGTAGCAATGATATATTTATACATATTTATTTATTTTGTACAGGGTCTTACTACACAGCTTGGACCAATAGTGATCCTTCTGTTTTCAGCCTCCCCATTGTTGGGATTACAGGCATGTGCCATCATGCCCAGACTCAGTTGCTGGCTTAGCATGCCCGGGGGCAGGGCTGGTGTGGCAGTGGTACCAGGAATCAAAGCAATGATGCTTTAACTCTATTGACATTAGACTCTTACATGCAAAGAACTGAGGAAGCACGGTAATCCTATAGCATTCCACTATATGCTGGTGGCAGCTCTTTAAGGACATTGTACATTTCAGCCCACAAGACAAAAAATTACATGACAGAATGGAAAATCAGATCAAAAATTAAGGGATTTTTTTTTTTTTCTTACCAAGTCTCTTGTTGCTTTGTTAACCTAGGGGCACTTTTATTAGTTGGCCTCAGAATATTTCCTGGAGAGGCCAAAGTGAGTTAATGTTCAGGCTTCAACTCTGATACTTCCTTCATATTTTAGACATGGCTAAAATCTCATTTATTAGTGATAAGATTAGATGCTTTCATTTTTATGTCCATACCCACTGATGACAGTGATCATCTAGCCAACATGACAGAATCAATTAATAAAACATGAACCCAGCAAATTCTATCATTTAAGTTCTATTTATCTGGACTTGTTTATAAATTAAATATAAATGACTATATTTAAGAAGCTGGATATTTTCTCCCTGGTAACATTCCCCTAATGAAGAAGAAAAATATAGCTAAAGCTGTGATCAGCATTTTTCCTTTTAATAACGATCTTGTTTGCGTACCACATAGCACGGCCCACAAGTCAGTTGCCTCTTGCTTACATTCTGATAGTACTTCTGGTCATGGACTGAGGTGAACAATGAGAGGAGTAGAAAGCTAATCACTGAGAACCATATCACTTACATAGATACTTATGCTGTTGACTTAATTTGTTTTCTTATGTATCGTTGTGTTGAAGTAAACAAGAAAGGCTGCCTATTAAGTGGATTTTTATATATGAAAGAAGTTGGCAAAGTGGCTACTTGCTGCTTTTGTGGTGTCCAGAGCTGACATCAATTGAGTTTCTTTAGTAATCTTTCCTATCAGTAGGATGGGCCATGGGTCTGCGAGGGTGACTAGTGGCTTTTCACTGTCTTCCTGAGATGAAGCCCACAGCATCAGCCAGACTGTCACCTTGTATGCAGCAGCCTATTCTGAATTTCCTCTTTCCTTGGTCAAAGCCGGGAAGAAAGATGAAGCCAGATTTATTTGTGGAACTAAATTCCTTTTCAGACTTTTTCTCCGTGATAGCTGTGAAATAAAAGATACATTAATTAGTCAGGGGCACCATTTTCAGAGCCACAGTCAGCACACACTTTTCAGTGTCCTATTTCACCGTGGCAGAAATAGTTTAATCTTCCTGGAAAGAAAAGTAAAGTTATGACACTTAATAATCATGTGTCCCCAGGGAGAAGAGTATTAAAAGTGGGAGGTGAGACTCCAGAAAAGTGAGGTGGAAGGGCAGAATTCTAAGAGCTACTTAGCTGGGCAGGTATCCATTCTGGAGCTCCACCACACAGTCTGGGAAGCTCTGGTGCACAACAAGACAAAGCAAGACTTAGCTAATGAATTGTTAATGGTGTATGTTGACAGCATCAGAGTGCAGTGACTGATGGGAAAAGAAAATCAAATGATCACACAAAAGAGAAGCAAAGTGTGTTTTGAATTGGATGTTTTGGAAGAAATTCCAAACTTATTTAGTTTCAAACTTTGGATCAAGAAATGTTTAATTTTGTAATATTCAACCACTATTTACTGTGGCTAGCATATGATCTCAAATGCACAATCTTCTTTCCTCATCCTCTCCAGTAGGTGGGAATACAGGTATGCAGCACCATGCCCAGCTGCCTTCTTTCTGTTACTTAGTATTTACTTTGAATGTATATTTAATATCATGTGAGATGAAACTTAAATAAGAATGCAAATATGGGGCATAAACTATATGAATTAGAAAGATCAATACAAGTGTTTTTGTGTCTACTTTTTAGCTTTGTATTTATATCTCATGGTATTTCATTTATTATTATTATTAT